CTACATGATGGAAACTATCATTTTGAACGTTAAAATTGCACGTAACTTTCATGTAGCTTAAAGCAACAAATTAGTTGTTTGACCATTTTCATTTTTAAGTTAAGTGAAAGTCGTTTACGATCTTATCTAAATTGACAATTTTGTCCTGTATGGATCTAGATTCACATGTGTGAATAGATGAAGCACTCATAACCTCACATTTAAAAGTTAGGGGCTCTAATTTATGTTAATTGAAATGTTAGAACATCTCCAACAATGATATAAAATAGATCTAAATTGTGGTTTAAATATCCAAAGTGGCCGAAATCCTCTCCAATTGAGGTTTAAATCACAATTTAGATATATTTTATATAACAATTGGAGATGATCTTTCCTTTCAATCTCCAATAATAGATACAAATGAAATGCAAATTGTATTTTTTAGCAGAAAATGTAAAAAATATATATATTTACATTTTTTTCATTCACAAGATTCAAAAAGTGGATCTAGATCTGCTCATTGGAGCAAAATTTGAATTTAAATTCACCATAGTGTAAATAAGAATGTAAAAGTGATTTTAAATATATCAATTTACACTCAATTTTATACTATCATTGAAAATGCTCTTAGGGAGCCCGTCCCTAACTTCCCATAAATAAATAGTTCTTAGTTTTCTATACATATATAATGTACAGTAATCAGGGTTGACCCTGATATTTTAAAGGAATGTTACATGTACAACACTTGGATTACAACATAGGATGACAATCTCTTATAAGGGGTGGGCTCTGCTATTATTTTAATCGCGGCCCCCANAATCAATATTAATTACATCTTTCATAGGTCTCACATCTTTTCAACCACATATTTCAAAAACTTCTGTCACAATTCACAAAAATCTAATTTTAATCTCCACCAAACACTCTCTAAATTTACTCTCCTAAAATTATTTGATAGAAAGCCAACAATTACACTATTACAATCAATTTGTTTCTTTTTCAATAGCTATCATGGCCAACACATTCAACATTTCTTGTGACATTGTCGATTATAGGATTTTATCAAAAAATCATGTTGGATGATTGTTGGACGTGGAAATTTAAGAGACATTATGGTGGGTGACAGTTGGACATGGAAGTTGAAGAGACAGAGAGAAATTTTGTTTGGTTAAGAAAAAGATAAGGAATGTTTGAAAAAAGAGGGTCAAATTAATTAGAGTAATGCTATTCATTCCCATTGGGGATGAAAACACAGTTTAGGTGGCGCTAATGTGACATTAAATGATAGGTGAAATTAAATAAATAATTTAATTTCACCTTTCTTTTCACCTATCATTTACAGTCACCTAGACTGTGTTTTCATCCCCACTGGGGATGAATAACATTACTCAATTAATTATAGAGGGAGAAAGCACTGATTGTGATATATTTATGAGATAAATAAATGTAAGCGATAAACTTTTATACCATTTACATGTTTGTTTAAAGAGTTTTGTATTTTCAATTTTTATTAATTTTTTGGATTTACATATGATAATTATAATTCAACGAATTTCATAAATTTAATTTTCTTTTTTCTTCAACCAATCAATTAATCTTACATAATTTAGGTCCTCACAAAAGCGGGGCCTTAATTGCTTACCCACCTAAAGTAAGGTCCGCCGACAGTAATAATAATAATAATTTTTATATATTATATTTTTCTGAAAGTCAAGATATTAGAAAAAGTCCTTAGTTAAAGTGCCTTTGGTCTTTTGCAGCTAAGGCACGTGATGATCAATCTGGGGGAAAAATTAACAGACGAAGAGGTTGAACAGATGATCAGAGAAGCTGATTTGGATGGTGATGGTCAAGTCAATTATGAAGAATTTGTAAAGATGATGATGACTATTGGATAGAACTTCATTAATTATATTCATATTCTTCACTAATTTCAAGTTCAATGTTTGCTCAAATTGTTTAATTGTTGTTAAATTCTCAATGTAGTCATGATCAGAATGTAGGATCAATTTTTTTTCTTAATTGAAAAAAATCTAGGACCACCAAATTATTAGTTTTTTAATTCGAATAATTCATTGTTGTATTTTATTTTTATTTTATTTTATGTGGGGAATTATTAATCATTGCTAATAGATGATAAGCAATGAGTTGTTTACTTGTTATCGTGATGTAATTGATTGAACAATTGATACATTAATTTCTCATACACATGTTTAAAAGTTATTATTCAAGTTTAGGAAAAACTTGGTGACATAACTCATTTCTTTAATATTACATGTTCGATAGTTAATTAGATAGCGCAAAATCTTAGAGAAAGGAAATCAAAATAAATAAATGTGAACTCTCTTCATGTCATCTACTGTAGACTATGCACATCAATAAAAAAAAATACCTAAGAAAGATCAACTCAAAGCCCCCATTTGATTTAGATAAAAATCAATTTTTTAGTAGAGTTTGATGAAAGTTGATTTATGAATGAAAATATGATAAAAGTTGTGGATCACATAAAATGCGTGGTTGAAACTGAGTTTGAAAAAATAAATGAGTTCTTGGGATCCAAACAAAAAACTAAATAACTTAAAGATATGAAGATCAAATTAATGTTATTAATGCTTAGTTGATATCTTGTGTTACGCCTCATCTGATGAACTAGTAAACAAAATCAAAATCGCACTCCATATCACTATACTACATGGCATATTTGAAGTCCATTAGTAGTCGAAATGATGCAATTTGTCAAATACCCATGTAGAGGTCTAACTTCCATGAACGAGGTGAGTACATGGCATATTTGAAGTCCATTAGTAGTCGAAATGATGCAATTTGTCAAATACCCATGTAGAGGTCGAACTTCCATGAACGAGGTGAGGCTATGTAATGCGTTGCAATACCAATCCAAGTCGAATAGCCCCCAAGTGTATGAGGCACCTCCCCTATATGGTCATCGGTATAAGGTCTTCTATGATTTATTTGACGTGACTTCTCTAGAGCAATTACTTTATCAAGTCAATTGGTCAGCTGTTCTTTTCATACCAAGCTTAGGCCATAAGGTGGTTACTGGTCAAAAACATTAAATGTACTTGAGCCTAGGAGGTTATGGAATGACGCCAATGACAAGGCGTCTCAGTCGTTAAGATAAGGCCACGTGTATCTTTATCCAATGAAGTTCAATTCCCACATTCTATTATAAAAGCTCAAATATAGCGCTATTTGAACGTGATGCAATTTTACACACTTCATCGTAAAATCACTCTCTATCATTTTACTAACTATAAATTAGTTCTACCCAAGCCATTGATATTCAAACACCTTTCTAGCTCACGTCTAAACAGTCTCATACCCAAATATACTCTGATAAGAGATTGAATTGATCGTCGGAATGCACGCGACCACCTTCCCGACAATCGGAGAATGCCTTGTGTTACTAATGGCTAATCCAAGTGTGCAGGCATAAGATTGCATAAACATGAGTAAAGCTAGGAACTGTTAACCACATCACTCGTGTAGAAACTGAGGTGTTTTGAAGGAAGAAGGTTCTAAGTGTTTTTCATTCTTGGGTGTTTGAAGTTTTTCTTAGAAAATAATAGACTTTGAAGAGAAAAAAATACTAACAAAGATACCCTTTTTGAAGAAAAGAGGTGTCCAGCCAATATGAGTGCTAGTTAAGAAAATGTAAATCTACGAAAAAGTGGCAAGCTAGATCTTAAAAAAGAGGCCCCTCCTGGTAGAGCCAACCACCACCAACCTCATCAATGTAGATACAGAAATATTGATGTACGCCTCACTAGAGGGTTGGCAGCTGCGGTCGCTAATATGAGGAACATCACAAAATAAAATTCCAGCACCACTCATCCTCGAATAAATGCAAGCATGAGCAGGTATGCATAGGCTCTGAAATATGAATCCACTATTTGAGTTCATAGGTGATAGCATTATCCAAGAAGTAAAATTACTTTAACGGTTGAGATGGTGAAAGAGCCCCTAGCGATGCTTCATTTCATGAAGTTCTTATCGACACAACAAGTTCACCTACCATGGAGTTCTAGGAAAATCCGCCTTAAAAAAATTATGAGTCATCTCCTCCATTTATCACCTATACTTAAAGTTTCCCACTTAATATTAGCATTACCACCATCAAAATAACCAAAATCGAGGCTAGTGAATTCTATAAGAACTTGCTAAGGAAGGAAGCCAATCGTGAGTTAAACATGGTGATAGCAACACGGAGATGGTCGAAGCTCCTGAATAATGGAAGGTCCCTGAATAAGGATAATACATCAAGATATATGAAGCCTCTCAAGAAGAGGCCACGACCACAACAACTACTAAAAAATGGGAAAATCTTAGAAGAAGAGGCCATGAATCATGAATGAAACAATATCTAAAGAAGTGAGGACCCTGAAGAAAAAAAAGGGTTGTGTTTGATGAACTAAGAGGCCTCATTCCTGAAATACGAGACTTCGTCTCTACACAAATGTTTCATCTACTTTTAGAGGCTTCATCCCTGAAACATAAGATTCCAACTTTACAACTATGAATTTTCCAAGTGATGCCTCGTCAACAAGATGGAACTTTACCATGCAAGACCTCATCCTTGCCTATGCAGCAAAGCTTTTATCATGCAAAGCGTCATCCTCACTTATGCACCAAAGCCTCTGTCATGCAAGATCCATTCTTTCCTTATGCTACAACTCCTCTGCCATGCAAGGCCTTATCATTGTCCACGCATCGGTGCCTTCACATGTAAGGCCTCATCCTTGCCTATACATCAGGTCTCATCCTTGCTAATGCATCAGAACCTTGGCCATGCAAGGCCTCATTCTCGCTTATGTATCAACACTTTCACCATGTAAGGCCTCATTCCCCATATAGATGCACCACCCACCATGCACGAACCTCTTAGCAAGAATAAACCATTGACCATGCAATAAAGTCTTTGTTGCCTTGACAGAGAGGTATGAAGCATCCCAATGGAAGCCCACTTGAAACTTATGAAGTTGGCCTCATTATTCCCTGTATGGATGCACAATTTATCATATAAGAAGTCCTTACCATGGATGAACCATCTACATGAAAGGAAGTTTTTGTCACTTGGTAAGAGAGGTGCAAAGCATCCCAAAAAGAGCTCACATTGAAATTTGTGAAGCCGACCTTATTATCCATTGCATGGATGAACCATCCACTATGCAAGCAAATGTTTGTCACCTTTGCAGCAAAGGCGTAAAGTATCCCAAAGAGAGCCCACCTTGAAATTTATGAGGCCAAGATCATTATCCTTTGTATTGATACACCATCCACCTACATGAATCCTTTGGCATATATGAACCATCACAATGCAAGAAATTTTTTGTTTCCTCGAAAGGTGATGTACGAAGCATCCCAAAGGGAGCCCTTCTTGAAACTTACAAGGCCGACCTCATTATCAACTGCATGTATGTACCATCCATCATACGGGAAGCCCTTAGCATATCCACCATGTAAGGTAGTCTTTTTTGCCTCGGTAGGAGAGGTGCGAAACATCCCAATTGGTGCCCACATTGAAACCTAAAAGGCTAACCTCATTAACCCTTGAATGGCTACACCATCCACAATGTAGAAAGTCGTTGACATCGATTAACCATCCACCATGCAATATTTTTTTTTTTTACCTCTGTAGGAGATACAAAACATCACAACCAAAGCCACATTGAAACCTACAACACCAAACTCATTATCCCCTACATGGATGTACCATCTGCAATTCATGAAGTTCTTAATAAGGATGAACCATCTACCATGCAAAGACATTTTTATCATCTCAATAGGAAAGGTATGAAGCATCTAAATGGAGCCTACCTTGAAACCTATAAGGCTGGCCTTATTATTCACTACAATGATACATCATCCACTATGTAGGAAGCCCTTGTTATGAATGAACCATTCATCATGTCATGAAATTTTGTCGCCTCAACAAGAGAGATAAGTAGCATCACAATGGAAACCACCTTGAAACTAATGAGGTCAATCACATTATTTCCTGTATGGATGAATCATCCACCTTACAAAAAGCTCTTGACAGGGACGAAAAATTCACCATGCAAAGAAGTCTTTAGGATGGGCAGGAGAGGTGCGAACTATCCTAAAGGGAACCCACTTTGAAACCTATATTCTCGACCTCATTATCTCCTACATGGATGCACCATCCACCATGCAGGAAACCCTTAGCACGATGAACCGTCCACCTTACAAAGAACAATGTAGCTTCGACAAGAGAGGTATGAAGCTTCCACATGGAGCTTACTTCGAATTTTATGAACCAGTCCTCATTTTTTGTTTGTGTGGATGAACCATCCGTCATGTAAGGATGTTTGCATAGCAGTAACAAAAGATCCCAACATATCATCAATAACATAAGTCCACACACTATATAAATATTCATACTTGAACTGGGAGACTATTGTGTTGTGCTCGTCACAACCTAGCAAATGGTTACCTCACCATTATGGTCTCAGCAAAGATAAAACACTATTGGTCGAAGCATCAGTTCTCCAATAACCATATTCGTACCATGCTGCATATCATGGATAACCATTTTCAAGTTCAACTTAAAGTCCACGCATTATATAAATATTTATATATGGACTTGGGGGACTAATGTTAAGATGATGTCACGTATCTCTTTGTCATTTGAAGCTAATGTAATCTTACATACTTCCATGAAATATTTATATTTATCATTTTACTCACTACAAATTAGTTCTACCTAGACCCCCGGTATCCGAACACTTTTCTGGCTTACGTTTAAGCACGTCCCACACAAAAATATACTCTTATAAGAGACTGACTTAAACATCAAAATGCACATGGCCATCTACCCGATCACCAGATAAGGTCAAGTATTGCTAAATATTTATCGAAG